ATCTCTGGCATTGGAGTAGCAAAGGCTAAAGCTAGATGCAGAGAGGCTCGATGTAGAGAAGCAGAGGCTGGAGATTGAGGCCCTGGTTACTAGCCGAGAGTGGGAAAACTAACAAGGATCATGAAAAGCAGCAACAACTTGAACTGCACATGGAGAAGCAGAGGAATGAGAGACAACAGAGAATGGTAAGCAGGGAGAGACCGTTGGGGTGCCCACCTTGCAGGGACAATAGATGCTAAATTGTTGGCCTCATTCCAGATGCCTACCTCACCACCTGTGAGAAGGTTTGTGAACTGAACCAAATTCCCCCATGCTTCCTTAGGGGAAAGGTAGGACCCTCCATACAACATAACCTGCCCCCAAAAGAAAATTTAAAATAAGTCAATGGAAGTATGGCAAAACATCTTGGTACACTATTCAGGCCGTGCCTCCAACTATGGAGGTCAAGTGACCTAAACCTTCACAACCTGACTGCCAGAGTCTTTGCCTGTAGCAACATTGTTTCATGCTCTCAGCTAGTCTAAGGTAGCCATCAAGGGGTTGTAGCTGGACAGGCAAATAAGGACCTTCAGCGAAGGCTCGAGCGGCTACAATGATATCCATCCCTCACCCCAAAGGCCTTTCTTATCTCAATACCCAGAATACTCCACAAATATAAGGACACTTCCACATTCACTCTGCCAAATTACCATTCTCCCTCAAATTTCCCATTTCACAGGGAGTTTTGTTGGATTCTATTAGAATGAATGCACTAATTTCACGACATTTAATTCCATTACATGCAAAATACTATAGAACCACATAAATTGGCTGTGGGAAAACTCTGTCAAACCATGTACTCCCTCCCACTTCAGGAGTGAGATCTCATTTCTACTTTCATTTGTCCAGTTAAGATTTAAGTAATCTTAGGTTTCTGCCATTTCCTTTGGTACTAATCAAGAAATATCCTTGTATAATGCATCTAACTTCCTTTTTATTTGCTTTATATCATGGGTATGTTACCTCTCTCCACAAGTCTTCCTACTCAGCTCCCTCTAGTGTGGTTGTGCTTTGCCATGTAAACCCTGGAATTACTGATCAGCTGGGCCTGTGAGGGTGCAGAATTCTACTTAATGCATTTATATAATGGCACAAAGCCTCAGTTTACTCCAACCTTCCACCAGTTGTTGACCTAAATTATGCACTTGTGTTACCTTATTGTCTGTGCTAATCAGTGTACATGAGTGTCAGTCTCCATCTCCCCACCCCGTTACCAGTAGTGGAAGTTGTCTGTGCCTGCCTGGGGTCGGGAGTGGGGCTGGG